CCCTAATCAGCGAGAAATACCAACAACAATGCGTATCCATAAATAAGCAATAAACAGCAGCAGCAGCAGTCAGCAGCAGCAGCAGTCAGCAGCAGCAAAATGACAATGTCATTAATGGCGGCAGCAACAACAAAAAGGAGGGAAGAATAGCGCGCAGCAGCTTAGCGGCTTAGCGTCTCAGCAGCAGAGTTTGAACTGAGCGCATTTTTATGACTTCCTTAGCTCGATGTTTTACGCGCCCTTTTTTGTTTTTTGCAAACTTCACTGCAATTGCAATTGTTTGCGGTGTTGTTGTTGTTGTTATTACCAGCAACAAAGTATGATAATTGTAGTACAACGTAATGAGTATATAATAAGAGTGAATTTTTCGCATTCGCATGCGCCGAGTATCACCCATTCGCTCAATCGCCACTGTCATTGTCACTTCCAGCTGTGCGCCCGCTGCGGGTTGGAATAAAAGCCGATAAAACCACTTGGACGCTGCGTGTGGGAAATTGGGTGGGGAAATTAGTGATTGTTGTTGGCGATGGTGGTGTGAAATTTATGGAAGTTATATAAGTTTAGCCACAGCGGCGGTGGGTGAAAATGAAGTAAGAAAAATGCTCACTGGCTTTGTTGCCACAATTTTGGTCCCATCGCATTGATGCTTCTCAGAAGCACCTCTCATAATAATTTGTAACACTTTCAGTTTCACTGCACGCGTAATAAAATATGTAAGAAAAATACTTAATTCTTTAGAAAAACCTAACATTTTTATAATGAAATTAAATTCAATGCATTTTCTTCCCACTTTTATCTCAGCCGCATACCGGAAATTCGGCGTGAAATTTTATTTTATTTATTTATTTTATGAATATCCACATATATATGTTTTCGAACAAATGGGTGGACTTCCAGCGGCTTCGGACGACCAATGAAATTCATGGCGAGCTTTTATTTCATGACAGAAATACTTTCGCAAGGCTAGACATTCCCTGCCGAGGGACGACCGTAATTATAAAAATGTATTTTATATATGCAGACCTGTGGCTGTCTAAAAAATTTAAGTCCACTCGCTTAGTAGAGTTGTGCGCTGGGTTAAAGACCCACCACGTTGAAACCAACTCCAATAAAAAGAGTTACAACGCCTCGGATGGCATACATATCTTTTTAGTTAGCCCGTAAGACTAAAGGCCAACATTAAAAGCCGTCTAAGAAGTGCGATGGATAAGAGAAGGTTGGAGACGTGTAGGTTGTAGTGACATTTACTATATCGGCTATGTAAGGAAGCGCAAACTTTGTGTTGGTTTCTCCCCGAAGAGAAGGATGATGTGCTCTTTGTGAGCTTCTGGGATATGCTCATGACCGGTGCCCATGCTGCGAAGATGATGCTTAGCGACTTTAACACCGGGTTGCTCAACGAACGCACGTCAGCAAAATCAAGGAAGGTTCCACTTCAAAAGGCTGCAATCACAAGAGACAATCGAACGGTTTTCTACTCGACTGGCACTTCTGCTCTCTGAGAGCAGTTATCGACAACTCTGTATGTAGAAATTGTAGGACGACATTCCAAGCTCTCACTAAGTACAGCTGGTATAATGAGTTGCTATGCTGCAGTGGAAAAAAAGGCTGCCTACAACGCGACTTTATGGTCGACTAACGCACCTGTAGGTTAGGATAGATACCGAGCTTTAGCTTCTTTGCAAAATATGATCGAATGAAAGCATGACCGACGATTGAAAACTAAGTACGCTCTGTCCTTAAATTGACTGGCTAAAGAAGGTGCAGCCCTTTTTAAGAGTGTATAGCTGCTATTATACGCCGATGATATTGACATAATTGATCTCAACAATCGCGCCGAGAATTTAGCTGTCTCCCGAGTGAACGAGAGCAAGACATTACATCTCTTGTCATCAAAGAAACAGTCATCGCGTTCGCTACTCGGCTCCTAAGTCACTGTTTACAGTTGTAACTTTGACGCTAATTATAAGATCAGCCTTGAAATCCCACGCAGAATAACTTTAGCCGTTAGGCGTTACTTGGGACTTAGTAGACATTTGAAAAGTGAAGTCCTCTCTCGACGAACAAAGACTAAACTCTATAAGTCGCTCAACATTCCATGAACAATGAACCGAAGGAATGGTGTGAGCTGTACGAGCTACATGATGATATTGACATAGTTTAGTGAATGAAGAGGCAGCGGCTACGCTGGTTAGGTCATGTGGTCCGGATGTATGCGAATACTCCAGCTTTGAAAGTTTTCGATGCAGTACCCGCCGGTGAAAGCAGAGGATGACCACCACTCTGTTGTAAAGATCAAGTAGAAAAGTAGAGTAGAGCCTAGCTGCACTTGGTATTTCCAATTGGCGCCAAACAGCAAAAAGAAGAAACGAATGGCGCGCGGTTGTTAACTCGGACATAAACCCGTTGGCGGTGTGTACGCGAGTAGAGGCGAAGATGAAGAGTATGATTATTACGAGCTCATTTAAATGAAATGACTTAATCAAGCAAAACGCTCGCCTACAGCGCCATCTGCTTGTGAGTGCTGCTTTTGTGTTCAGCTTAAAGTGAAGTTCACACAAATTCACACCAATGGAATATGTAAGGCTGAATGAAACCAGTTATGAAATTTTTCTTTGCAAGCAAAACAATAAAAATTCAGTTATTTGACTTAGCTTAAGCAACAACCATTTTAGAAGAACAGCGCCTATAAGTAGACAAGCAAAATGCATGTGCTCTCTACATTTGGTATGACATGGGAATAAAGCAGGCAATTTAATATAAAAAATAAAAATAAAATAAATTTAATTCGTTTTAATAATTGCAAATATATGTTTCTTGCAAACATTGTTAATATTATTATATAAACAAATTGATATTTTTTATTTATATATTTTAAACGTTAATAAAATAGCAGCGCTTTAAGCAATGTAGCAAAAAAATTATAAAGGTGTGATTTAAACTCCCTTTTTAGCAATCTTATAATCAATTCCTTTGATTAAAGAGCCAAAGCTAAGAAATACATTAACGTAGAGGAAATAACTGCTCACGATTTCTCTGTCCTTAGCAGAACATCACCAGCCTGCCTCTGTTAAGAAAATTATTTATGTGGTGGCTGTTATTTAACAGCATGTTGAATTCCCTACCCGCGATTTTGCAGAAGTTGTCAGAGCACTTTTAAGTGGTGACATGAAATTGCATCTTCTCATTATAATGGATTATCTAGTAAAGTGTAGCGCCCTTAGTGCACACAATATGTATCATATGTAGATATAAATTTGGTAGTAAAGCACACTTAATCAGCTATGCTATAAATTCTCTAAAATTCGAAAATTTAGAATTTTTTTTAATATTTTCCATTTAATTTAATTTAATTACTTAGAAAGTTTAAGCCAAGGAAATTATTTTTCTATGCGTTAAAAAAAAACATTTCTTAAGCAATTTTAAAAATTATTTCCAACTGTACTATTCTCATTCAGAAGATAGAAATTTAATTGCACTTTGAAACTTATAAATTCTCAAAATAAAAAAAATAATATTAATAATAAACCGTTATTTTTATACTAATTATATTTATTTAATTTTTCATTTGATATTTTTACATGATTTATGTTTTTAGATATGTTGCATACTTATTTATACCATGGAAGTTGATAGTCATAAATTTTTGTTTTATTTGCAAGTAGTGCAAACTTACATATTTATATGTAGGCCTGACGATAATACGCATGTTAAAAAATAATAATAATTTTTAAACTAATATTTTGAGCATTCAAAGGATACACTAATACTATGATAAAACTAAGCAAAAATGTATAGTTATGTTTGTATGCATGGGGGAACAAATGTACAAAATTCAATTTATTTACATAAGAATTATTTTTTAATTAATTTAAAATATTGTAATTTGTTCCTTTACCGTTGTTGTATGTATGTATATACTATACGGCAGAAGTTTGCTTAACTAAGGTTTTATTATCTATTTCCTCAATTTTTTATTTAGAAAGTGTGCAATAGAGTTATTTAATTATTCAAGCAAGCAGTTTTATGCAAAAAAAATCAAGCTGTTTTTTTTTTTTAAATTAAGAAAATTTAAATAAACTTTAAGTTCAAACATACTAAAGCAGCGACTTTTTATGAGACTTGAAATTTAAAAGTAGATATATGTAAATATATATAAATATTTCTTATTGTTGATTTAAAATCAACATATTTACACACATATCTAGGTAGAAGGTATAAAGTAAATGTGCTTAAAATTTCTTTAGACTTTTTTACACAAAATCTTCGAATAGAAATTTTTAATTTTTTGTATTTATTACATTTTTCTTTTTCTTTTATTCGCTCTGAATTAAATTTTCAAAGTAGTTAACCCTTTTTGTGTACTTAAATATTACTTTTATTGCGTTTCATTTCATGGTTTTTGCATGTAGATACAATTTTTTGTGCATACATTTTTAAATGTATGTATATAGTTTCGCTTAAAAGTCACTTTTATATTAACATATATATTTATATGTAAATTATAATAGTTACCGCTTATAAACTATTGCAAATTAACAATGGCGTTTAACTTATATTAAGCTTTTTTATTAAATATTTATTTGTTTAATTAAATATATTATCATTTTTTATTTCATTTAGCTTTGTTTTTATGTTATAGAGTTTTTTCATTATTAGTTGCATTAAAAAAAAAAACAAAAGAAAGAAAAAGGTATAATGGAAAATTTTAAAGAGTCAGTAAATTTTCTTTTAATCAAAATTGTCAAAAATCTTTAAATTTCTTTTAAAAAATTAAATTACTTTAAGGAAATAATCTCGTGAAAAAGTATAAGCAATAGTAAAGCATCAATATAATATTAACGACAATTTTTTCAATGGTGCAACTGGGCGTATGAGCAACATTTAAGTCAAAAAATTCACATTTGTATATTTATATACCTTATGTAATTATTCATACTCTATTTTAAACGATACATAAATTTTATAAAAAAAAATTAATTTAAAATTTTTTTAAAAATGATTTATTAAATTTTTTGACCTTCAATTCCAGCTTATAATTAGTTAATAAATTTTGCATACATATTACCTTCTTCATATATGCTAATACATAAGCTTGTAAATATACGTAAACAAATATATACTTAGTACTTATTTAAATATTTTTTTATATATCTGTATGTATGTATGTATAGCAAGTGCTAAGTGTTTTTCATTTGTGTTTCTATCTCTGTTATCCACCTTTTACCGGCTCATCAATCCCATTCACCAATGTACATGGTGCGAGGTGTAGGCACATAGCCGCGTGTTGGCAGTGGCAAGCGGCCATAGATGTGATTATATGGTGATTCAATTAAGTCGGCATCTGTAAGGAGATATAAATAAATATTTAAAACATTTTGCTTATAGTTTGAATTTGTAAAAATTAAAATTTAAACAAAAATTTAAAAAATAAGTTAAAAATAAGTAAATAATAGAAACTAAAAATATAAATTAAATAAAAAAGTTTAAACTGAAAAAAACAAAAACCAAAAATAAAAAATTAAAAATATATATAAGATATATAAAATTAAAAATCAATCAAAAATTTAAAATAAAAATATATTTAAAAAATGGTAAAAAAAAAATATTTAAAACAAAAATGAAAAACATAAATGTAGAAATAAATATTAAAAAAACGATTAAAATAAATAATAAATAATATGAAAAAACAAAAAATTTAAATTAAAATAAACAAGCATAAATATAATAAACAAATTTAAAACAAAAAAAAACTACAAATAAAATGAATTAAGAATAAATAATAAATAAGATAAACAAAATTAAAAATGTTAAATAAAAAAATAAATAGAAAAGGTAAAACTAAAAAACAATAATAAGAAAATATTTAAAACAAACAAAAATAAAAAATTGAGGCAAAAAAAAACTAAAAATAATAGAATAAATATTACAAAATTAACAAAAAAGTTAAAAATAATAAAAACTAAAATAAAAAACAAAAAAAATTAAAATAAAAATAATAAAAAAGTTAAAAATTAATATAAAATTAATAACGGAAAAATAAAAAAAATTAAAAATAAAAAATATTAAAAAAAAAGAAATAAAAACCCAAAATTAAAAAAAAAAATGCAAAAAATAAATATAAAATATTAAAATAAAAAATAGAAGAAATGAAAAAAAAAATATATTAAACAAAAATTAAAATTAAAATAAACATGTTAAAAATAAACGAAATTAGAAAAATTAATATAAAAAAGTTAAAAATAAAAAACAAAAATTAAAATCAAAATTTACAAATAAATAAGATAAAAAGAAATTAAAAAGGAATAAATAATATAAAATTAAAAAATTAATAGAAAGTGGTAGAAATTAAAAAAAAAAACTATAAAAAAATGTTTAAAACAAAAATGAAAAAAAAATTCAAACAAAATAAAAAAATTAAAGGATTAAAAATAAATACATAAAATTTAATATCAACATAAAAAAATATAAAATAAATAAAAATGTTAAAAATAAAAAAAACGAAATATATTAAAACCAAAATTCAAAAATAAAAATTTAAATAAAAAGGTTAAAAATTATAAAATAAATAATATAAAAAAGTTAATAATAAACCAAGAAAATAAAGATTAAAATAAATAATTAAACAATATAAAAATTTTGGAAAAAAATAAAAAATCAATAAATAATCAAAAATTAAAAAATAATTAAAAGAGCTAAAAATTAAGAGCAGAACAAAAAAAAATATATAAACTAAATAAATTGAAAAAAAATAAAAATTAAAAAATTAAAAAAAATAAATATTAATAAATGAAACTAAAAAATTTTTTAAACCATTTAATAATACAAAATAAAAAATACAGAAGGAAATTAAAATAGAATAAAAAAAAATAAAAATAAAAAATACGGAAGGAAATTAAAATAAATTCAAAACAAAATACAAATATAAAAAAAAAGTAAAAAAAATAAAATAAATTGAAAGTATAAAAATAAATTAAAAATATTACAAGTCAAAAAATATAACAAAATTAAGAACTAAATATTTTTTTTATAAAAATTTCCTTGAAAACAACAACAGTTACTGTATGTATGTATTGTAATTGGTTATGTTTGTGTGTGTGTGTACAAGCATATTTGCACTGCTTTTAGTATTTGTTGCTTTGTAATAGGTTATCTAGCTACAAGTGTCTTTGTTCCGGTCCCAGTCCAGGTACGCCAAATAATAAAATTTTTTTTTTATTTTTTTGCACCGCATAAATAAATTCAAAAGCATTTAGCTTTATACACTTATGCTTAAAGAAAGTAATATTCTGTATATTTTCTATTTAATTATATTTACAGGGAAAAATATTATATATACAATTTTGGTTCTCGAAAGAAAAATTTAGTTCAACTTTCTTTTATAAATACAAAAAAAAAAAATTAAAAATCCATAGGGTCTTCCTTAAACAAGGGAAATAAATATTTATGATTTACAAAAAGGCTGTAAAGCCAGTTTCTAAATTTTCTACACTATTTTTTACAAACTCTCGTCCAGTCTGACCATCATCCAAGCACTATTTCGTGCTAAACACTGCTCAAAAACAATTTGAATCCACTTGAAAGGGGCTCGATATGGAAGTTCGACTACTAAAGGAAGGAATAGTATTTCATCAGGACAACGCCAGACCCCACAAATCGACAATAACTCGCCAGAAGTTATGAGAGCTTGGTTGGCGGGTTCTTATGAATCCAACTTATAGTCCGTACGTCACACTAAGTGTATAAGATTTGGCTGATGAAAAATCGGTCTCAAGAGAAGGCTGTGAAAAGAAATACTCTCAACAAACTCAGTACTTTCGTGGTCTGGGTACCTGGACACAAGGACATTCCAGGCGATTGCATGGCAGACGAACTAGTAAGGGAAGGAACCCTTCTATCTACGATAAAACACGCACATGATGCTGTTTTACCTCTGCCCAAGGCTAAAGATATGCTTAAACTGGCCTTCTACAGGGAATCTGACTCGCGATGGTTAAACGAGATTACGTGTAACGTGACAAGATAGCTATGGCCGAAGTTGGACGCGAAAAACTCTAAACATCTTATCCTTCTGGACCGGTTCTCCCTTAACATTACCACCGGTATAATAACTGGACACTGGGATTGGGATGGACTTTTACTCTAACGATTTCTGCCGCGGCTGTAGAGACGTAGAAGAGGAATAAACCACCGAGCACTACCTCTGCCACTGCCCAGCCTTGAAAGGCGCGTGACATAAGTTTCTAAGGGAACACTTCTTCGACTGTCTCGCTGAGGTGGCTTCAGTGAACATTGGAAATCTCGTTGCCTTTATAAGGCACATGAAATGGTTCGATCATTTGAGAAGGTGAAGGCAGTAGCCTCAGCGTTATCACAATAGGACTTCTCGGCAATGTCGAATATGTTATATATATTATATATATTTTTTTTTATTTTTGCTTGAAATTCTCCTTTTCAAAACAGAAACCAATGATAATGTCATTGCTTTTTATCGTTCTAAATTTTTTAAAAAATATATATTGCTTACAAAAAAGTTCAAACACTACCACAACCAAAAAAAAAAAGGGAAACGCTACACCATAACCCTAAAATTAAATGGAAAAACAACGAATGGCGCATTAAAGGAAGTCAAACCTATTGGTAAATTGTCAGTTCATTGATTGGAAACAGTTTGGTAGGCGATTCACGGTTGGTTGTGTAATCCGTTGCCTGTTTGATTCTTTGATTGGTTGGTTGTTGAGCTGTCCGGTCGCAGTTCCGTGCTGTTGTCAGAATGAACAAGTATTGTTGCTTATGCCGAGCGCCAGAACGCGATCTTTAGTAATCGAGTATTTGTATTTTCTTTAGGCTCAGACTGCGCGGCTTTCGCGGCTTCAAGTAGCCATAAATCGATTCCATATCGCTTACATCCACACGACTTGCCGGCCGACTGAGACGCACCTGGGACTGTTGTTGGTATAACGCTTCGTAGCTGGCGCTGTTCGGCTTTTGCTGTTGTGCCTTTGAATTTTCATTTGTATTTTTTACAACATTATTGTTATTATGATCGCGTCTATTGGTATTCAACATAAAATGCTTATTTTCGTTGCTGTGGGTTTTATAGTTGTCATTCTTGTTACCGTACAATTTCGCATTCTTCATTTCATTGCTGACGTACGGCGCCTGCGTTGTGTCTTTTGCCGCTCGTTCACAATTATTCAAGTGTTGTTGTTGCCTTTGCTGTTGTTTTCGCCCTTGTTTCAATTCCGTTTGTTGCTTCTTGATTTCCTGTTGTTGCTGGCGCTTCTGATTGTGCGCTTTCATTTCGAACGCCGCCGTCGCCGCAGCCACTACGCTGCCGCTTAGTTGTTTTATCGTTGTTGTGGTTGTATGCGCTGTGCTATTTGTATTTGTTGTTGCTGTTGCTACTGGTTTCATACTACCCGCGGTCGTCTTATCATCATTAACGCTCAGATCTATACTGCAATTACTATTTTTCTTGCCACGCCAACAAGGCGGCGGCAACGTTGGCTTTTCCTCCAGTGCTGCGGCGTCTACCTTATTTTTGTTTACCAACTGTAAGCCCAATTTATGGCGTTGAAAGTGTAAGAGTTCGTTTTCGCGTAAATTAGCTAAGCGCGCCACTTGATCGTTTTTCTTGCTGTCTTTTGCTGCATTCGCCCGCCTCATATCCGCCGTGGTTAGCGGTGCGATGCTATTTAATTTCTTACCGCGTAAGCGATCATAGAGATTTGTTGTGGAGGGCGATTTTACTATGCGCTTGCGACCACCATACATATATAGCGAACCCTCTTCGTTCGGCTGCTCGAAGAAACTTTCGATAGAGAGCGATTTTTGACGCAGCAACGCAGGTGAGTGTACAAAGCTGCCTCTGTCATCGGCGCTTGGACGCCCACCACGTTGACGTTGGCGGTCCATGACACCGTTGCTGTCGCATTTCAATCGTGGCGGCGATGGTGTTGGCAATGGACGCGGTCTATTTGTGTGGCGGTGCGCATGTGTGGTGTCCCAGTTCGTATCGTCGTTGTCGTATAAGTGGTTAGTAAGGTGACGCGTTTTCATGGCGTACTCATTGTAACCTTTCTTTATGTGATTTTTATTGTCTTCGGTATGCTGCGCCTGCTGCCGTTGCTCATTATATTGTCGCGGTTGGTCAAGGCTCTGAAAGTCTAAGTCATTTGCGCAACTCAGCGCATCTTCATCTTCCAGTGTGTAAAGACAGTTCGCGCCGCGCGCGCCGCCATCATCATAAATGTCCTCTTCTACTACGTCTGTCTCGCCAAAACCTTCGTCGTACGTACAAGTTTCGCTTGGCGGTAGGTAACGGTTATGCCGCTGATTAAGCAGTGATAAGTCGCTCTCGCTACACCATTTAGTCAGGTTGCGACCTACTTGACCATACGTATGGGCGCGGTTCAACTCAGGGAGCAATTGTGTATCACCATTTACAAGATCTACATCTGCGCCACCCTCACCGCCATTCGAGGAGCGCCTTGGCGCTGCAGCCAGTGGCGGCAATGGTGGTGGCGGTGGCGGCGGTGGTATATCTGCCAAACTGCCACTCAACTGCTGATGCAAACGCAGCTGCTGTTGACTGAGACTACGCGGTGGGCGAGCTGGTTGCGCTTCACCGAAGAGCGGCGCTAGTGTATAACAGCTAACGCAATTGCAATTGCTGCCTATTGAGCTGCCAACATCGCGACGCGTACGACTTGTGCGCAGACGGTGCGGTGAAAGCGCCTGCTGCAATTCGCGGCTGATGCGGCGAAAGCGTGAGCGACTTGAACGAGCATTTGCCGTTGGCAGCGGTGCCTGCGTGTCACCGTAAATTAAGTCTTGGTCAGGATAGTCAGAGTCCGTGAGTCCGTGATACTTATCGTCGGTGAAAGGCGGCGCGTAATTGTCGCGCATGTGGGGCGCTAGTTGGCGGCGCGCACAATTGCGGCTGTGATGGCGATGATTATGACGTGGCGCGTCGTCATGCTGCTGATGGTGATGGTGGTGGTGGTGGCGTTGGCGCGCTTGTTCGTAATTTTGAACTTGACGCTGTCGCTGTTTTTGCTGTACGTTAAGTTTCATGTCAATGTTATTGCTTTTGTTGTTGTTTCTACTATTAAAAATGTGCTCATGTCCGTCCATGCCATATGCCGTGTCCACCGCCATTATGCGCTGTGGTGTCGCGGCAGACAACAACGGTGGCAGTGCATTGTGCATTTGTTGTTGTTGTAATTGTGCTTGTAACTGTGATTGTGACTGTGCTTGTGCTTGTACGTTTGTGAATTGTTGTGCTAGTTGCATTTGATGACTGTTGCCGTTCGTGTTTTTATGCTTGTTCTTGTTTTTGTTCATATTGTTGTTGTACTGGTCCAACTGCTGCTGTTGCTGTTGCTGTTGCTGCTTACTACTACCACTACAATCATAAATACCTATGCCGCTTTCGAAGCTGCGCGCCTGCCACATCGGATGCTGCGCCATGTGGTGTTGATGATGTGCAGCAGCCGCATTCGCTGCTGGATGATGATGATGCACCGCGTGTGCTGCAGCGGCGGCCATCAGCTGCTGTTGTTGAATGTGATGTGGATGCATGTGTGGTGGTGGCTGTGGTGGCGCCACATGCATGGCGTGCAAATTCGGCGCTGTCATCGACATGTGTATCATCGAAGTCTTCTTCTGGCTGAGCGTGTTCATGTGGTTGCCGTTCGAGTTACCATTCGTGTTGCTGACGTTACCATTGACAGTGCTACTGATAGTGGCGTGTTCCTTGTGCTCCTTACTAGACTTGGAGGATTTCACGAAATTCGGTACGCGCGCCCGCAAACCGCAATAGTAGGGATCGTCTAGAAGAAGGTAATGTAGTTGAAATAAATATTTAAAATTAAGAATTTTTGAAATTGGTTTTACATTAAGGGATGGCTACCATAGCTTCAAGATTTACGATATATAGACAGCTCTTACCATATTTTTTATTGTCTTTGCCTTTATCAGATTTACCGCGTGCCAATTTGATTCTAGTATCCACCTCGATATCGTCGTAATCAGGCTAAAATGAGATCGGTTTAAGAAAACTTAGTTAGTTAGCTTTAATAACCACATTTACTATTATCTATTATAGATTTTATTTTAAGAAAAAAATAACTCTGAATTTTTTACTTCAAAAAACTCAAAAAACTATTGAAAACGCGTTTGCTTGGTAGCGACTAGGCAGCCGCTGGTACGAGTACGAATTTTGACAAATCTATCTGAATAGATTTTTCTAAATGCATTCTTACCCAGCGCTGAACGAGAGAGGATGACAGTCCATAAAATAGCCACTGAAAGACGGCTTACAATACCATTCACCTCTGACCTCTTCTCCACTCGCCTTAGAGTTTATATGAAATATTTCACGCACAAAATTTTGATCATAGTAATGGCTTGGTTACTAAGGTCACAGCTGAAGTTGGTATACTATGATTAGACGACTGTAATTTGAATTCAAAGCATTGCATACTATTGTATTTACACTATACATTTATAAGTATATATTGTAGTATGTATAGTAGTATGCATACTATGATATGTATACTATGAAAATTTACTATGATTTAAATACTAGGTTACTTATACCATGGAATGTATACTATGGCATGTAGTAAGAATTTATCTGTGCTTTTTATGTTTTATGATTTGTGTATTATGATATGGTTCAAATACTGTGGTATATATACTATGATTTGTATTCTAAAGTGTTTATACTAAGATATGCAAATTTTGGACTAGACAGAACTAACGCTATATACTAAGGGTTTTCCAATAATAGATGTTATATTGATATTCAAAGGAGAATGACATTTTTGAAGATAAATGATCGATTGTTTATTTCAATATAACGAGGAAGATATGCCATTAAAAACGAAAGAAACAATATCAAGCAAATGGCCGCCACGACTACGCCTACAAGACCGTAACCTTTTTGTGAAGTTTTCCATCACGAAATCGCAATGTGGCTACTGTATACCTTCAATAGCTTCACGAATTCCATTTTTAAAGTGCGGAATCAATGTTGGCCTATTAACGTAGACCTTATGATTTAATTGGCTCCAAAGGAAGAAGTCGCAAGGTGTTAAGTTAAAAGATCTCGGTGGCAAAGATCACCACTTGGAGAGTTAAACCGTTGATCAGATCAATCTCTGGGCAGGACAATCTATTCACCTATCGCGGATTAGGATTTCAAGAATTTACCTGTGGTAAGGCATGTCTGTCGTTAAAGGCGACTAAAATCCAATAGTTTTCGCGAACTTTCTATACCGGAACGACCAGAATTTTTATACGGCCGAAAAGCAATTCGTGGAATAATTTGCGGTTACAACAACAAAAAAATAACAACCGTAACTGTTGTTTCCGTCTAATTTTCGAAAACGTAAGGTCCAATAACTCCGCCGGACCATACGGCACACAAAACAGTTACCGAGGCGACACTTTTGCTTACCAACGTAGCCTTCGAGGTGGAAATAAACATTATCAGGCAAGATGATTTTTCGATGAAAAGACGACTTGAGTTATTGTGTTAATTGAACTTTATAAGCCCTATGACGCAAATTACGGTGTAGTGACGTTTGTGGAAAACCCAAATCCAAAGAACGACGAGGAATGGACAAATCTGGGGTTTATTCAACACTATAGCAGCCATACTCTCGGTTGTTCTTGAGCGAGGTGCACGTGCTTTAGTCTTCACATCACCAACTTTTCTCAACATCTCCATTTTTTACAAATTTTTATTTATACCAGTCCGACAAGGCGCTTCTTGACGATCGAAAAATGTTTTAGTTTTACGAACCGTGTCTGCCAGGTTTTCATCATTTTTGTAGACAATTTTAATAATTTCAGTGCATTGCTGGAGCAAGTAACGTTTCAATTTTATTACTGGCAAAAACTACGCCTGTGAAATAACAAAAAATTAAAGCTTCAAGGGTGACATTTAACGTAATAAAAGGCTATTCAAATGAACATCTCTTATTGGAAAACCCTTTATGTTTTGTGTACTTTGAATTGTAAATTACAGTTTGTATACTATGGTACATGTACTATGATTTGCCACCTATGGTATGTATACTAATATTTCTATACCACAATTGGTATACTACAGTTTAAATATTGTGGTACACATTATGGTGTTTATACCATGGTATAATATTTATAATGTATACAAAGAAACAAATTTCGAATAAATTACTCATTCAAATTTGGTCCTCTTGAGCTTAATTGAAAATAAATTTTAAAATTTTAGTTAAATTATTTTATTGTTAAAATTAAGTGAAATCAGTTCGAAGTTACTTTTCAGGTAGATAAAGCAGAAGGGTTATGACTTTCGGCTTGACCTGGTTTAAACGGTGACAAGTTTAATTTCGGCATAAGAAAATATTCATTTCTTTCATATTTAGATACTTGGTTATTATGCAAACAGAATATGCAATATCGTTTTCCGCGGGACAGAACTTTTGCTGAAGCAAAATTTTTAAAAATAAAATACAATACAATTTACATGATGGCGAATACATAATTGATTAATAAAAGCGCTTTCTTCAAAAAATTTCAATTTTAGTTTGCACTTGAAATCGGGCACGAACTTATGCACTCATCCAATACAATTTACTTGAATTTCTTACAGCAATTTTGTAGTTAGAAATTCTCATACAATTAACTTTATATACTCGTAATATTTTTATATATATATATGTATGTAAATATATTTGAGCTTGCATAGTCTCCCAACCAGTGATTACACAACTGGAGTATGTCAATAGGTGAATCTCAAATGCAGTTATAATTTATTAATTTGAATGCCATAGTTGCTATTGCTGCTGCTTGGTATATATATACATATATACGTATGTAATTTATACCTATAACAACAACAACAGCAGCAATAAACAGTAAGTGAAAAATATAATGCTCCCATACATATACGATTATATTTACATACATACACAGAGAACGCTTTTCGTATGCACTAAATAAGTTACCTTGTGCTTTTGGCCTTATGAGCATATATCTGTGTTTGTATGTATTTGAGAGTTTGGGCGCGCATTGGCAATAAATACAACATTCTTTGCATATTAATTACACGCGATATTCCAAAGATAAGTGCAGTTATTTTGACATACTCGTACGAGTACTGCCAAAGCAACTGTGCTTACCCATATTCGTATGAGTGAAAGAGTATGTGTGTTATATATGTAAACGTAATAATTATATATGCACATAAATTTAGTTATATACTTGATAGCATGCACATACATACATACACGTATATATGTGTGTACCATATACAGTTGTATATATACATAGATACTCGCATTGCAGTGAAGAACGAGTTTTGCATTTGGAAACTAATGCATTGACCATTTTATTGAGTTGGCGTGGCAATGTGTATTAAAACCAACTCACTTTGTTGTTGCTGCTATTTAAAGGTTTCTTATTAGCCAGTTAATCATTATTCGCTGCCCTTCTTCTTCTACGAAGTGAAACGTTTCACTGATTCATTGAAATGTAGACAACTTTTTTGGCTTGTACAAACGAGGGGACTAACAAAAGAACGGACAGTTGACGACTTTCAATTTGTTTTTGTTAAATCTAAATATACCAAATCCTATGCAATGAATTAATTATTGCTCCTTGTAAATTTCAAAACTAACGTCTGAAATGGCGACGTGCAAACGCAAAATAGCTGAGGCTACGTCAGATGAAATTCCACCGCCAAAGCAAACAGAAATTCGCCATGTGATTCTCTTCGGGTTTTTGTGTTATTTACCGCCAATGCGAAAATCCAGTGAATGCCAAATAGCACATTGAACGATTGCACCATCTTTAAAGATGTTTTCTAAGTGATTTCGAAGAATACAGACCAGAAAGTATGCTGTAGAAATCGAACCTTGAGAAGGTTGATCAACATTTTTCACTGATGACGTCACTGTAGCTCTTGTGAAATCCAAAATTGACAAAAACCCACGATTGATACAAGAACTGATTGCTTATGAATTGAGCTTGAATCTGACTGTATCGCAAATATTAAGTATTCATCTGGCATACACGGAGAGATTTGCTCGATGGGTACCACAAATTTTTAAATGAGGCTCAAAAGAGGCTCGAGTGCTTTTTGCTCAATTTTTCCTAAACAAATTCGAAAATGTTCAGTATAGCAACCTTAGTAAAGTCGTTGCTGGTGCCGAATCTTGGTTCTATAAGTACAATTCAGAAACCAATGGCGATTATTTAGAGAAGATCAAAAGGATAAGCAATTTTTATCTGCTCAACTTCGCGAACTTTTCTTAATTCTCTCGTATATATTCATTATTATAAGCGCTTTGTAAATGCTGAAGCCGAGCTCCACCTCCAATTCGTGACGAGGATCTTGACGTTTTTCTAGCAATAAGTCCCGTTTGTAGCAAGCCGCCCCTGAACGGCCGTTAATTGGAAATATTTTTATGAGGAGCCTTTCTCTCGTGTTTCTCATTATTTTCTAATTTTGGACGCTGGTAAGGACTTCCTCGTCATACAGAAGCAGTGTGTCAAGTATCCTGAAGTACATCCGGGAATTTATTACCAGAAGAATATCTACGAAAACTGTAGAAGAACGACTGAAATAGAGTGCCAATAACTTTGTTTGTTTCTGTTTTGCAACAAAACTTTTCATACAAATCTTTCAACGGCTCGGAGGCGGCTAGGAATAAACTGCAGTTCCGCTCATTCGATTGCTAAGAAAATATTATAAAGACAGTGTAGATGGTGGATGTATATGGCTGTTATTAGATCAGTGCTTACATGTGGAGCACAAATTTTGTGGCTTTCGTAAGAAAATCGAAATATAATTAGGGAAAGGGAAAGGAGATCAATCAGTGCAGGCATTAGAACGTCTATTAAGTAAAGTCCGAATGGCGCCTCCCCAAAGTTGGGAGATCGGTAGTTGATTCCAGGGGAGGAAACCCTCTGAACGTGGATTGAAAAAGATCTAGCAGATGAGGCGGATTCCATCTCAATCTATACCGATGGATCCAAAATCAACTGCGGAATGTGGACAGGCGGATACACCAAGACTCTTGATTCCTCTCTCTCTCTCTCTCGCTCTCTCTCTCTCTCTCGCTCTCTCTCTCTCTCTTCCTTTTCCTCTTCCTCTTCCTGTTTTCTTAGCTCTCTTTCTCTTCCACTTTCTTTTTCTCCCCTTCTTTCTTTCTTTCTTTCTTTCTTTCTTTCTTTCTCCCTCTCTTTCTTTCTCTTTCTATTTAGCTATCTCCTATGCCAGGAAAGGCCTATGGAACTGAATAACTATGGTAGAAAACAGAAAGTAATCCTATACAAGGACAGCCGCCATAATAAATTCCAGAGTGGTGAATAATTTTAACGACACTTTGAGCTCGCTGGCAGCTCAAGGTGGTATCTTGGTAGAATATTAATGGGCTTATTGTGATATTCTGACCAAAATGAGTGCTTCCTTCCACTTTAACAGGCATCATTATATACATTTTGCATCTCTAAAGACATTCTCTATACTAGGTTTTTCGTTCGGTAAAAGTACAGAAACTCTTCCGAAACTGATGAGGAATCAAATTTACTTTAATCAAATTGAAATTAGTTTCTAATCACAGCTAATGTTTCTATTGACCTTAATTTGCCTCAAAAAATCATGCAGAATAAACTTTCTACCTAAATGTAGGCAACGTTTTTGAAAACCTGGTATATTTTTATAATACAAAGATGTTAAATAACTTTCTTTCTTACGTTATGGCCTTCAAAATGCAAATATATATTTTTTGCATTATTTTTAACTATCAGAAATTTTCAAGTGATTTAGATTTTATACTAAAATATGTTTCACAAATTCTTTGTGCGCCACTATTGGAAGAAGTAGAGCGCCAAAAAGTATGCAAACGATTTTTAAGCGTTAAAAATGAGCAAAAAAAGTATAAAGAATTGCTAAATCTCTTAAGCACCAACTGGCTGCAATGATCGGTCTCACAAAAGAACTCTTCTAATATTTTTTAAATCACATCCGTACATATATATACATATATACTCACCTTCGGTATAATATCATGCGAATAAATATTATCGCGTGGCGGCAATTTTGGTGGCTTTTCGCTGCGCTTATGTGCCAATTGTTGTGTCTGCAGCAACAATTGCTCACGCGTGGCTGCCACATGACCTGCGACAGCTGTTCCACCACCATTCATGCTACCGCCATTCATGCCATTCATGCCGTGCATGCCAACGCCCATGCCGCCACCGCTACCGCCAACGATGGCACCTTGTTGCTGTTGTTGCGAATGATGACCCGAACTGCTGCCAGCACCAAAACCAGAGCTGCCCGAACTGCCACCGCTACCATTGCCAGCGACACTGTAAGGATCCTCATCGGGTATGGGTATGCGAGGGCGATTCTTAATGTCCACTATTGGGCGTTGTACTGGAAGAGTAAAAAAAGAATGGAAAGGAAGGTGCAGAAAGGTTAAATATACGCAAAATAGAGATGGAATAAATTATGAAAGCTGTTTTTTGGGCTGCATAAATCATCTGTTGCTGCTGCCAATTGTTGGCATAAGTGCAATTTTGAAATTTTTGTTGTTTTTGTTGTTGTTGTTGTTATTGTACTATGAAAATATGCAAATTTCCACTCGGCTGCTATTTGACTATCATTGTTATTGTTTCATTTTTTGTTTCATTGTCTATTCGCAAAACTGCGTTGACATGCGCTATACACACATGCACACACACGTACACAAACGCACAAACGTATATATGAGTACACTTTTGATTTATGAGACAAACGCCCTGAGACAATAGCCGCTGCCGTTGCATGGCCGAAGTGCGTGTGGTTCGCTGCCCATGCGTATACACATTTTTATTGCCGCCCTTTATCTCGGCTGGGACAGTGGGCAAAGGCTGACACTTTGACATTTTAAAAGCGAAACGAAAATGCTGCCTGTTGGCATTTGAAATTTACCGCAAAATTTACTTAATACATTTTTTCATGTAACACACACACACACATGTCGGAGCTTATATGAATTTTTCAGTATTTATGTTTTGCACAGCGCAAAAGTGAAAGGCCAATAACAACATTTGCTTGCAACAACAATAAGCCGTGGCGTTGCTGCTGATGGCGGGCTTTCAACCTTGAACTGCCTGTCGAGCAAATGGGGAGTGAAACGCCAAAAGAATAAAAGAAACAAGATTAAAAATAGAAAATGCTATGCATAACAAGTTGCATAAAAAAAGTATGCACCACGTATAGATGTATGTATGTATGTATGTGTGCATATACTTGTGTGCATATAAATATTAATGCATTTTCGATTTTTTTCTCGCTTTGTGGCTCCGCAAAAATGAGATCTTCGTGCGGATGCATGAGATCCCATGCATGCACTTTCAACCTCTGTCGAGTATGTATAGCAAAAAAAAAAAAACAACAATAAATACAACACGCTTAGATGCCAAAGCAGCGCCCAACCTAATAAATTACTAACATTTCGTACTTGTAGCTCCACAAATGAATGCTTAGCTCAATAAGCTGCATAAATGGATGGTAATAAGTTCATAGCCAATTGGCTGTGTGGAAAAATGCATGTGAATACACATATGAGAGTGTAAAAGTTATGCTTATGCTATTTATTAGCGCTCAGACTCAAGATATTTTTTATTTTACTATTAATTATATTTTAATTTATTTCTTTGTACTTTGTATTAAGTTAATTTTCGTTATTTTGGTTTATTTAAATCAATTTAAAATTATTTAATAAATATAATTTTTTTTTAAATTTATTTTATTATAATTACAGGTGTCTTGCTCTTTTAATTTTTTTAAATTTTATTTTATTTACTTAATTTTTTAGTTTGACTAATATATTTAATTTATATTACTTTTATATTTAACATATTTTTTTGTTTTATTGACGTAACTTTTTATTATATTTAACACAATATTGCTTTTTATAGAATTTTGTTTCCAATTAATTTATTTTTTAATGCTTCAATTTGTTTTTGTGGTCTTATTTGGTAAAGTATTATTACAGCTCATTCCATTTCGATTCATTTAATTTGATTTAACTTCATTTTATTTGGATTTGCTTTATTTTATTAAAATTCGTTTATTTTATTTCATCTCATTTTTATTTTATTTNATTTCATTTTATTTTGTTTTATTTGAATTTGTTTTATTCTCTTATATTGTATTGTATTTTAGTTTATTTAATTTAATTTTATTTTGTTTTATTTGAATTTGTTTTCTTTTATATTATTTTATTTTAGTTTATTTTATTTTATTTTATTTTTTTTTTTAATTTTATTTTAGTTTCATTTACTGTTTTTTTACCTATTATACTTTATTGTTTTATTTTTTTCATTTTATCTTTTATTTTATTTTATTTAGTCTTATTTTATTTTTTTATTATTTATATTTATATTATATTTATTTAATTTTTTAATTTAATTTATTTTATATGTTTTTATTATATTATTTTATTTTATCTCATTTTGTTTTATTTTGTTAAATTTTATTTTATTTAATTTTATTATAATTTATTTGATTTCTTCGAATAAATAAAAAAAAACTCACCTGGCGGCAATTTGCTCTTTAACATATCCATTGCGACTACATTTACAATGAGCACCCAAATGGGACATTCCAATATATCATTCTCCGATTTGACAAAAGCCACAACAGAGAGGCATTGTGTCTCGAGGCGTCGACGATCGGGATAAGCACGACGAAGTTCACGATTTACATTTGATTGAAATTTCTTCATATCGAATAACTGAAAAATAAGATAAATATAGAAAAGGAAATTTTATAAATAGAACTTTAATGATTAAGTTATTATAAAATATTTAAAAGGCAGTGATAATTTCTTTATATGAAAACAACAGCGCTGTTAGGCAAAATGTTAATTTTTCCGCTAACACGAACACAAAATAACAGTCCTGCTATACAAAATGTTATTGCTCCATATAACACTTAATATGGTGTATTTTAGAGACCCGTTTGCTTTATATGTTGCATTGAATAACTTCAGACTAATGCCGAGAGATTTTATTTATTTAATTTTAAAATATTTTCTATAAATTTTTTATAGAAAAATCTTTCTATTTTACTCACTTTGACTATTTTTTCACTTTCCAATGCTTGATTTGGCAATTTGAGTATATCGGCACCAATTGACGTCTCCTCGTTGGGAGCACTCGCTGTACTCTTGATGTAAACGTTGCTTTTGGCATAGCGACGCACAAGTATGTTACCAGCATCGTCCATTTTGATTTTAACGCCCTATAGATGGGTAAAATGAATTTATATAAATTTAAAAATGTAATTTTAGTGAAATGGATAAGGTGTTGGTTAATATGAATAAAGTATGATTAGCTACACTTAATTTAATTTCATTTAATTTAATTTTGTAACTAAATCTCTATGTAAACATAACATATTGAAAGTTATGCTAGTAATGTAAATATGTTTCTTTTGTAAAAAAAATAATAAAAAAGGATTATCTATTTGTACACATAATCTTTTCTTTGATTAAATACCATTTTTTGTTTTCTAAAATATAATTTTAATAAATAATCGGCGAATTTCTCCAAATTATCGGTTAATAACACAAAATCATTTTTAGCTTTTTTTATTTTTTATTTTTGTTTTTATAAAAATCACCATCACCATTACTCTGCAATGGTTTCAGTTCACAATTACCGCGTTAAAATTGATTCAAAACGCACGCACCATTTAACGGCTTACAATTATTAGCGCAACCGCAGGCCATGTCGGCAACAATGGTGCGATAATTTATATATACCATTTTGCTCAGTAATACACTTTTAAGCAACATTTGTAAATAAATCCGAAATTACCGAAATTCATTTAGCCGATGGGCAATCTAAGAAATTATTATTTACAGTTCTTGCTCATTCGCTTTAAACTATTGTGGGCGCGCATAATGTAATTATTATCAGGTCAAGTAGAGCCCGAGCTTTGTGTAGATAAAAAATGAAAAGATTTGTCCTAATGGATATTACTTGTTCTTTGCGAAAAAATATTTGCGGTCAAATTTGTAATCGATTAATCGCACTTGAGTGAATTTCTATTATTCCCAATGTCTTCTTATTTTTATTCTTATACTCATTATATGAGTAAGCGTGATACATAACACTCACATCTATATTTATTTATCTATTTATTATTTATTCTCTAACCACCCTTTGATTAATGTTCCTTTGTAGTAGCACAATTGCGCTCATTAATTTCTGCCAACTGCTTTGACCTAAAGAGTGAGAGCTCGTTACTCGTTTGTTGATTGTATTTTGTTTACATTGCTTATATGTCTAAGTAGCGGTACTGAGAGGCAATATTATAATTTGTCTAAGGTGTAATATGAAATTTGTCGTTTTGACGTCTCGAAAATTACGGTTTTGTTTGTTTTGTAAGCAATTTCAAAATAAAGAAATTATGTCAGATTTATAAAATTAAAATCTACTTTTTTAACTTTAGATTTCTTTAATGATAATAACACGGAATTTGTAATGACCGATAAATAATGTCAAGGAAGAAATATTAAAATAATATAAAATATTTTAACAAATGCATAAAAATATTTCAATTTGAATTTAAGATAGAAAATTTTATTAGTAAAATTTTTTATATAAATATGAAGAGAAAATATTTTTTTAAAAACCAAAAAAAAAGTATATAAAAAAAATTAAAAAAAAAAATTATACAGATATATATTTTTCTTTATAAATTGCAAAAATATGATCAAATCATTCTTATCTTAGTTTATATATTCGATTTTCGAACATTCCACTCACCTGCCCAATATGCCGTTTATATTCTTCGGTCTTTTGATCGCGCATGGGATTATCAAAACCGCATAAACCAATGCTGTAAATATATATAAAAAATGAAATTTAAACTATTGAATATTCAAATCTCAAATAAAATAACTTATTTTCTTCGGAAAAGTAGCAAAAATAGGACTTTATAATATCTTTAATTAATCAGCGCAAATAAAAAATATATGACAAAAAAAATATTTCAAAGTTGAAATTATTTTAAAAGGCTAACTATTTTCCAATATTTTAATGCTGGGCTTCACAAAAATCTAGACTTATATGCACGTACATACATATATAGATGCGTAGCAGTTCGTGAAAGAGGTGAAAATATATTTCTATAAGTTTTAATTTTTTTTTTAAACAGTACAATTTTTTATTTGCTAAAATTGATTTAGAACAAAAATTATGTCGTGACATTTTTTACGTTTCGTAAAATTTATGTTCGGTAAATTTTTATTTATTTCTTTACTTCATTACTGATTTCGTACAAAAAATATGTCTAAACACTTTTTATGTCTAGCGAAATTTTATGTTTAACCATTTTTAGAAAACTTATTTAACACATTTCAATTGTTTGCTTTAATTCCTTGCTTCGACAATTTTCTTGTCCTACCATATGTTTTGTGTTTAGAAAAAGTATATTACGTACATATGTATGTATGCATGAATATTTAACACATCCTCGATTCTTAAAGGTATCAAATATGCATAATTTAATTTACTGTTCAGCAATTTTTAGAGCAAGAGCAAAATTGTATATCTCACATTTTTTATGTGTTACAAGAATTTTTAAATTATTTTTAGCAAAAGTGGACATAGTATGTAAATAAATATATAAATAGATATTTTTTTGTAAAATGAAATGGATTTAATATCAATATGTATGATATGTCTAGCAATATTTTTTGCTTAACCGTTTTTGTATTTGGCAAAAATGTATTTATGTATATACTTTTCTACGTTTACCACAATAGTTCTTACATCAATACGTACGACAAGTCTAAACATTTTTTATGTTAAGCCACATTTTATGTCGAGCTAGTTTTTGTCTTTATTAACATTATTTTGTGTAAAACTTTTTAATGCTTAGCAAAACTTTCTGTCCCTCCATTTTTTATGTTTAGCGAGATTTTATGCGTAACCACTTTTTGTGTTTAGCAATATTTTATGTCTAGCTCCTTTTTGTTTTTATCAACATTATTTGTGTAAAACTATTCAATGCTTAGCCAAACTTTCTGTCCCTCCATTTTTTATGTTTAGCGAGATTTTATGCCTAACCACTTTTTGTGTTTAGCAATATTTTATGTCTAGCTAGTTTTTGTTTTTCTCAACATTAGTTGTGTAAAACTTTTCAATGCTTAGCAAAATTTTATGTCCCACCAATTTTAATGTTTAGCGAGATTTTGTGCCTAACCATTTTTTGTGTTTAGCAATATTTTATGTGTAAAGTTAATTTTTTTTTTGCGAAATCTCTTTGATTTTTCTTAAAAAAATTTCCAACATTTGTCATACATACATACACACAAATCTACCCTTTTTTCCCAACTTCGCACCACTAAATTACTCATACGCCCTGTCGGTTATTTAATTTTTGACACCCAAAGATTATGACTTATGCGCTTGCAATGTTAGTTGTCAAATATGTCTGCGTGCAGTTAGCTGATATTTATTAGAAATAAATTTTGAACGGCAAACACCCATATGTGCAGCGGCATGCTAGAATATCCCTTCACCATGACTCATAAAGCAATATACAACACAAAAAGAAAGAAAAAAAAAGTCATTACAGACACCCCCAAAAACCTGCCGTCATTTATTTTTCATTTAATTGGCAGGCAGCATGCTCACGGTATTAAATGTTTGACAACCTGTTAATACTAAAATAAAAAGTGTTACCATTTCAGATTTATACAAATAAAGCAAAGACAATAGCAACAGAGCAGTGTGCTCAACGCCATTTGTAATTAATACAATTTATGTATGTAATAAATTAGTTGAACGTGCCCACTGTGCCACAGAGTGGAGAACGTGCCACTATTTTGCAAGTGAACTATTGTTTTTGCTATTTTTTTAGCATTTATTCTGAGTGGCAAGTCCAAATGCACGTGCGAACCTTTGACTTGGTAGGAAATATGAGCATATATGCTGGAGTATGAACATATACACGTAAGTAGCTTTTCATTTTTATTTAAATTTTCCAAAAAATTAAAAAAAAAATATTGTTAGTTGCACGTCAGTTAGCCATTTGCACGCCGACGCCACATTAATCATTAACGCCGTCATAAACTCGCCTCCAGCCACTGGTGGCACTCAATCAACGGTTATATGCAAATTTTGCGCTACACCGAATTCAAATTATCTCAGAACGAAATTTCGGCAATTCTTCTCCTTGATATTTTTTGTTTAATTATTTGTTCAAGCATTTTGTACCATTTAGTGTTGTAAAAAAAAAAAACAAAAAAAAAATAACTGTACACAACATTCCAATTTGTTGCTTTGTGAAAAAGCCGCCGTGCGTTGCGACACATGCAACAGCCATGCGGTAAATGCACAAGTGGTTGCCGCACCACACAACAACAAGTTTTTTCTATTGACTTAAACGTCACTGGCAGCTGTGTTGCGGTTTCCACGTCGCTTTTATGGTCCATTTTATTATTTGATTGTAAACAAGAGATTTTTCTTGCAATAATATTTTTGGTTTTTTAAATTTATATTTATTTTTATTGCATGTGTAGCACAAAGCGTGTGCGCTTAAGAATGCCTTGTGAGTCACTGAGCAATTTTTGGTTAACAAAAAAAAAAAAACTATTGTAGTAAAATAGTTTAAACATAAAAAATTAAATAATGAAAAATAAAATAAAATGAAAAAAAGAAAAATAAAAAAACAAAGTAAATAAAATGAAATTAATTTAAATTAAATGAAGTGTAATAAAACATAATAAAATAAAGTAAATATTAATTTAAATTAAATCCAGGGAAGTAGAATAAAACAAAATATACAAATTTGAATCAAATAAAGCGAAATAAAATGTTAAAAAATGAAGTTAGATAAAACAAAAATAGTTTAAATTTTACAAAAAAAATGAAGTAAAAAATAATGTAAATAAAATAAAATAAAATATCTAACTATATTAAATTACATAAGTGGAATAAAAGAAAATAAAATAAACATTAAATTTAATTAAATCAATTTAAACAAAAGGAAGTTAAAAACAAAATATAAAAAAATTAAATAAAATAAAGCGAAATCAAATGTTAAAAAATAAAAATAAATAAAATAAAATTAAACTAAATTATTTAAAATAAAATAAAATTCAATTCAATTAATGATTTTAATTCATTTTTATTGCTATTATTAGTTGACATAAGTAAAATAAAATAACATCAAATAAAATAAATACAAAATGAAATAAAATAAAGTAAAATAAATTAAATTAAAGGAATAAAATAAAATGAAAAAAGAGAAGTAAAAAATTAAAGTATATAAAATAAAACAAATTAATTATATTAAATTAAATGAAATAAAACAAAATAAATATTAAATTTGATTGAGTCAAATTAAATGAAGTGAAATAAAATATAACAAAATATAATTTAATTAAAACAAAGTGAAATAAAATGTTAAAAAAATAAAGTTAAATAAAATTAAATTAAATTCTATTAATGAAGTAAAATAGTTGAAATAAATAAAATAAAATAACAAAAAATTAAATTAAATTTAATTTAATTAAATAATATAAATTAAAACAAAATAAAGTAAAACAATAACGCAAGTAGAATAAAAGAGTAAAAAAAATTAAAATAATTGTATTAAACAAGTTTTGGCCGATCTTGGAAACCATAACCTACACGTATTTCACTATTAACGCTTCAGCGTCTGCTGCTGACAACAACATTGATTTTTTTAGGTTCAAAAGTAGTGATTTTAGCGTCGAAGACAAGAAACGTTCTGGGGATGTTACTCTAAAACTACCAGAGAGATAAACAGAAAAAGTCGCCTTCAACGGAAATTTTTTAAACATTTTTTAATAAGAATTTCTAAATAAAAATCATAAATAATAAACATAAGAAAAAAAACAAGGGACCGAATTAATTTGTGATTTTTTTTTACTTTTTAATGCGGGTTAAATTTTGAATGCGCCAAATCACTCGTGAGTATTTATAGGGAAGATAAATATCAGAAGCCAACTCGCAAAATCTTTATACCTTCTCCTAGCAGATATTTATTTCGACTTTTTACTACATATGCCACATTTTGTGACACTACTGCTGCTGCTTAACTTAAGCAAGCTCCAAATTTTGTAATCTTTTATAATCGCTTCGTAAAATGATACTTGCCATAACGATGTGTAATATTTTGCTATAAAATTTTTACGTAAAAGGGTGACTTAATCGATGTACATGTATTGCTACAAGTTAATTAAAATTCTACAACAACAACAACAACAACAACAAAATATATCTCCTTTGATTATAAATGCAAAATTCAAAGATATTTAATCGTAAAAGGGAATAAAAATATTTAAAAAAAAATGAAATGTTCTTAAAAATTATTTCTTTGGCCCACTTGCAAAATTTACAGAATTTTTTTACAGCTTTTTTATTAGCGTATTAATTAAAAACAGCGCTGTTAAAGCAAAATGCAACAATTTGTAAACGAATAAAGTTTATATGTTAATTTGTTTGGAAACCGTTAAATGTGCCTTTTTTCTTGGTTTTTTAAATTTTTATTTCTCGTCTTCGAGGCAAAGCATGACATAAAGTGTGCAAAAAGTAAAACGAAAAAAGCAAAAGGTTAACAAGCGATAAATATATATTTTTTTATTTTTTTCCTTTGCCAAAGAAACAAATATTTACGATTTATATATTCTTTACGATGCATGCTGTGATACAATTGAAAGAATAATTGCACGTAATTATCGAAAAAGACAGCTAAAACTAAAAATCAGAAGTAAATATCATGGTATTTTTTCTTTAATTGGTTATGCTATAAATTATTGTTTTGCATTTCAAATAACTTCAAAATCAACAATTCGATTTTTTCAA